CTTAATTGGCCAGCAAACTCTCCTGACCTTAACCCCATAGAAAATCTATGGGGTATTGTGAAGAAGAAGATGCAATACACCAGACCCAACAATTCAGAAGAGCTAAAAGCCACTATTAGAGCAACCTGGGCTATCACCTGAGCAGTGCCACAGACTGATCGACTCCATGCCACGCCGCATTGCTGCAGTAATACAGGCCAAAGGAGGCCCAACTAAATACTGAGTGCTGTACATGCTCATACTTTTCATGTTCATACTTTTCAGTTGGCCAACATTTCTATAAATCCTTTGTTTTTATTGGTCTTCAGTAATATTCTAATTTTCTAATATGATGAATTTGAGATTTTCATTTGTTGTCATTTGTAATCATCAAAATTAAACAAAATAAACATCTGAAATATATGAGTTTGTATGTAATGTATGAATATAATATACAAGTTTCACTTTTTAAATGGAATTACTGAAATCAATCTACTTTTTCATGATATTCTAATTTTATGACCAGCACCTGTATTTTCAAGGACTTCGAAGGATCCAGTCTAGGTAGACCGCGTCCTTGGAGGACACGTCCTAGGTTTTCGAACAGAGCCATGATTACGCAAGAATTACGGGCGCCATCTTGGGGAGGTCGACCTGCTACCCTAACCAGATGGTTCAACCAGAAGAAGCACTGTGCTGCGTGTTCTGTATATGTATATGTTTCCCAGATATGTCCATAATGGGTAAATATCTATCTATCTATCTATCTATCTATAGAGAGAGAGATGTGCATATATATTTGTGTATGCCTGTATAAAGTGGCTATGTGCTTTGCAACATGCATACATCCAATCAGAATATTCTATTACTTTTAACCCCACTAAGAATATTTATTTATATTTTATTTTTTTCTAAAAAAAAAAAATAACATATATATATATATATATATATATATATATATATTTTTTTTTTCTTTTGGTTTTTTAAGAATAAAAGAAAATGTGAAATTAATTTCAACATTCAGCGAGCTAAAGTTGATTAAAATGTATGCTGTGCCTGCTCAACACATTAGCCTGAGTGGAGCTGTCGACCGCCCCAAGATGGCGCTAGGCGTTTTCTAACTGGAAAGCTGTGAATAGAGTGAGACCTCTGACTCTCCTGGGATCTAAATCCTCACAGGAATCTCCTCTGCAGCTCCCAAACACTGGGTGAAAGGTCTGCTGATAACAAGCAGGAACTTTGCAGTAAGTGTTTGTCCTCTGTCTCCAGTGGATCTTTAATGATTTCTCCTTTAACATTCAGCCTGCTTGTCTCGGCTTGTTGCGTGTGTATTTCTATGTCTCAGGGGCAGGAATGAGAGCCTCGCCTCACCGCTGAGCTCAACATGAGAGAGTGGTGGATCCATGTGGGTCTGATCTGCGTCCCGCTGGTGGCCGTCTATCTGCACATCCCGCCTCCTCAGCTCTCCGAAGCCCTGCAGAAGTGGCACAGCTCTGGGGATTTCTTTCACTTTAGAGAGAAGAGGATCTTTTACAGAGGTAGCACACGGCAAAGGAGGATTAAGCAAATCTCCAAACATCCACCCCCTTCCTTTCTCACATCACTATGTTACTCCTAGACTCCTATGGTGCTTTGGGAAGCTCAGATGTGGTCCTTCTCCTCCATGGTTTCCCCACCTCCAGCTATGACTGGAACAAGGTACCCTGGATACATCATCTCTTTATTTCCTGCATGATCAGCAGGATCCATAGTGTCCGGCACTTAATCACATTTCACCATCTATTATTCCTGTTGACCATTATTTATCTGTTATTCAGCTTTCTGTCCATTGTCCTTTTCAGGTTCCATGTTGACACTGTAGCATTATTTATTTTTTTATTGATATTAGGGCCGAAACAATTAATCAGGTTAATAGATTATGGAAATAATAATCAATTAACCATTGTATAGAGACTCTAAAACATGACTTTAGCTGACAGAGCAACCTACTGTCAATATGCTCTATTCAGAGCAAGTGGGAAAGTTTTAGTTTGACCTGGTTTAATTCTGTAAAAAAAAAAAAAAAAAATGCTATCCGATTATTAATCGATAAATCAAGATAAGATTAACTTTATTGTCCAAAAAGGAAACTTGATTTACAGACTCTGGCTGCTACATAGTCCAAACTATGTCACATTGCATTCACACATAAAAACACTGCTATAAAAATTCCATCATAAGACAATAAATAAATACATAAGGAAGCATGTTACATTCCATTCACAATAAAAATTGAAAGAAAAAAAAAATTGTATAAAAACCATCTTTAAAGAATCTGTTAAGGTAGTTTACATTTTTAATACCATTGCCTATTACACAATTTACTGCTTGATACTGTTTATTGCCTTAATGGAAAGCAGAACAAATGAGTTCTTATAGTGGTTCAATCTACAGGCAGGGACTCTAATACGTCGACCTGAAGGAAGAAACCGATACTCTGAATAAATAATATGAGTGGATAAAAAAAATAATAATAATTCACAGATTACTCGATTAGCAATATAATTGTTAGTTGCAGCCTTAATTTATAAGAAATTCATTTGTGTTTAAATCTTCAAATTGGCCTAAAAGGAGAAGCTACATCTTGTAAATGTTAGTCATTTTACCATAAAAACTGTCCAAATCCTGAAACCATTTATCCTCCATTGCAGATCTGGGATCCACTCACACAGCGCTTCCATCGAGTCATTGCACTGGACTTGCGGATGGATTGTAGATGCTTGGAATAACGTGTTTGCTGGCTCTGTTCTTCAAGCTTTCGCAAAAGCCGGCATTATTTCTGAGGAGCTGCGCTGCACGGAAAGTGACTGACAGCGCAGAAGGGGAAACTGGCATGTCTGATTTAGCGCAGCTGTTTAATTCAGAAACAGAGGATGATGACTTTGATGGGTTTGATTAATACTTTGTAATAAATAGCCTACATGAATAAAGCACAATCATACTCAGGTTTGCTCCCGCTCTATTTTTCTACCTGAAAACTTAATTCAACAGCAGCCTCTGGGCGGGTCTCCTCCTCTTCACCGCGGCGGCTGGCAGGTGTTTTTTCATCTAAATAATCTAAATCTTGCAGCTATATTTGCTGTGATCAGTGGGAATAAAGTAGTTTTAATATGTTTTTAAGTGAGAAAGTCCACCTGAAAACTTCATAATTGCAGTCAGTTCATCCAGATTATCTATTTCTGTCGGAGGCGCTCAGACCCCCACATACCAGCGGTGCACCGACAGCAGAAATCCTTTCGTTCACCGCGGCTGCTGCCAGGTGTTTTTCATCTAAATAATTGAAACTGCAGGCACCAGGATACCGGTAATAAAAGCGAACATATTCTGTCGGCAGGTTTCAGGATTTTAAGTTAATTTAGGAGTGATCACAGCGCTGTGTCATCTGCGATGTGTCTGTCTCACGGCCAGCTGCCAGGTTTGATTAATACTTTGTAATAAATACATGAATAAAGCACAGTCATACTCAGTTTTGCCCCCGCTGTATTTTTAAATACGCAGTAGAGGTATTTAAAGGTAGTAGAGGACATGTACCGGTATATAAAAAACGCGCCCTATAGTCCGGTGCGCCTTATGTGTGTGTTAAATACAGAAATGGGACACATAACTGAGAGTGCGCCTTTTAGTACGGTGCGCCTTATGGTCGTGAAAATACGGTATTTATGACGTCATACTTGTTTTAGCCTATTTATGACATCATACTATAGTATGACTATTTTTACCCTATTTCTGATGTCATACTATACTATGACTAGGTTTGGCCTATTTCTGATGTCATACTTTATTATGACTGGTTTTAGCCTATTTCTTTCTTCATACTATACTAGGAGTCGTTTAAGACTATTTTGATGTCATACTATACTATGACTCATTTAAGCCAATTTTTGACATCTTACTATTCTATGAATAGTTTTCACCTATTTCTGACATCATACTATACTATGACTTGTTTTAGCCCATTTCCGAGGTCATACGATACTATGACTTATATAACTATATTATTACTAATTTAAGCCAATTATTTGCATCATACTATATTCTATGACCTATTTTGGCCTGTTTTTAAGATCATACAATACAATGAATCATTTTAGATTATTTTTGAGGTCATACTATACTATGACTCATTTTAGCCAATTATTTAGTTCATGCCATACTATGGCACGTCTTAAGTTATTTAGAGGTCATTGTATAGTCTGAATCGTCTAAGCTCATTTTTGAGGTCCCTCTATTGTATGAATCGTTTTAGCCTGTTTTTGACATCATACCATACTATTACTCATTTTAGCCTATTTTTGAGTTCATACTATGCTATCAGTCATTTTAGCCAATTGTTGAGGTCACACTATATAATGACTTTTATTTATGCAATTTTTCGAACCAGATGAAGATCTGATATCACATGTTTGCAAGCCTGCAACAATTAATAGGATAAATCGTGATTGATTACTGAAATATTACTCAACTAATTTAGATATCAATTAACTTTGCTGGTGAAGATTCTTTCATCCAGGTCATAGTGATTCCAAAAAAGTTAAAAACAATCCACTGGACTTTGTTTCCAAGTTTGTAGACATTTCGCTTCCCAACAGGAAGCTATTTCAATTCAAAATGTTAGAATTAGCATTGAGTTCGAAGCTTTAAAGAGTGGCCCAAAAACTTGTTTTGGCTTTGAAAACATGCAAATTAAACCAGAAGAACAGCCTGCAATACCCAGTATCCGGTATTGCAGGCTAACAAAGAACCCAAACGACTTCCCATTCCTAAAGGGTGGACCCATTAAACAAATCATCCATATTTGGTAGTAATTTCCTGTTTATTAAAAAGTTGGAGCTGCTGTCTCTACTATTTAAACACTTTGCAATAATGGAAAAGCTGGTTAAGCTTTATTCATGTATAATATTTCAATGTGCTATGGCAGAATCTGATTGTTGTGATTTAAAGACAAGGATAACCCTAACGGGTTTTCTTTTTTTTTCCAATAGGGTTATTTCCAGAAACTCATCACCCACGGTTGCTGCAGACGGTGAGTAAAGCTGCCTTCATTCTACTCTTTGAACTTTATGAAATATTAGATTCTTTTGTTGTAATTTATTAAAAGGGGTTAAAAGTGGACTGCATATTTTTGTCTGTGCCATGTCCTTAATTTTCCTTTTTCCTCCAATTAGCTGATGAAGGACTCAAGTATTCTAGGGACGGTTCTGACACGCCTCATTAACTCCATGATCTTCCAGAAGGGGTGAGAAGACCAGAATGTTTTAAATGAAGAATGCAAGGAACTATTTGGTCTTATGCTTTTAGTCCTTTTTGGTAGCATTGGAGAAGTGTTCGGTCCCTACACTCAGCCCACAGATGCAGAGCTCTGGGACATGTGGACCATTTTACGCTACAATGATGGCAACTTGGTTTTAGACAGGTAATGTTGCGTTCAAATGCTCACTGTTCCTGATTTATGGAAGGGGATTTCACTTCTTTTTTTTTTTTTTTTTTCTCCATCAGTATTCTCCAGTACCTCAATCAGAGAGCTCAGCACAGAGATCGATGGGTGGGAGCGCTCACGTCTACACATGCCCCATGTTTAGTGGATCAGAGGGGGGAGCAAACCCTTCCTAAAATATGAGCTAGGTCATTAAAGCCGGGCTTACACTGTGCGATTATTTCTTTTTTGCTTTTCTCGGGCCGACTTTCCAGTTGTACGAGAAGTTTCTGAATGGCCCGACTTTGAGCCTGAACGTGTGTCGTACATCGTGTAGTGTACAGGTGATAACGAGGGACGATCAGACTCTCACAATCACCTCCTGATCAGGAATCGGGAGAAAATCAAACATGTTTGATTTTCTCCTGACCGTTGTGGGCAAATTGCTAAGTGGGCATGCACAATCAAGGACTCTTCTTCCTCCTCTCAGCTGAAAAATAGAAGCATGGTGGGGGTGGGGGTAAAATGGAGTCCTTTCAGTAAAACTGACAGACCATAGTAGCCACGTTTGTTCAGCCATGTCTTTGTCCAAATATGCCGCCGCCTTTTCTTTTTAGGGCTTTCAACACACAAAATTGCCCAAATTGCCAAGGCAGCGCATTTCACTCTATTGAGCTTTCTTCTACAAGTTTGGCTCACGGATAGACGAGTCCGAGTAGCGCCATCTCACTATGGAGTCTGAAGTGGTTTTTAGACGTGCAGTGTGAGCAGGTAGATTGCATCAGAGCGTCGTACTGCAAAGTGCGAGAACATGCATTGTGAACGGTGAACTCGCGCTGTGCGACTAAACCCTGCAGTTTGTCGTACAGTCCGGGCTGTAGCTATGTGCAACGATTGAAAAAAAATCGCACAGTGTATGCCCGGCTTAAGTGATGCTAAACTGAAAGGATGGAATAAGAGAACAAGGTTAGAAAGAAGGAAGTAATAGGAGGATACAAGGTAGAGGAAGGAAGGGAGTACACACAAGTAAAACAAATACCTAAACAGAACAGGAAGACTAAAATCAGACTCTTCCTGAACGCTCACATTAGAAGAACAAAATGGTTTGTTCACTTTTTCATCTCCTACATCTTCCATTTGGTTTCCTCCCCCTCCTGTGTTTTAGTGCACATGATTTACGGACCTCTGGACCCTGTCAACCCCCATCCACAGTTCATCCGTCTTTATGTGTGAGTTTCCCTTCAAGCGACTTCCTTAACCCGGTCTCTTATAAGTATTCACACCCTTTGAACGGGTTTTTACAACAAATTCAAACTACAGATGTTTAGATACCAACCACAAAGCTTTATCTCTGTTCAAAGCTCCCATACATCAGTGATTTGATCTAAAACCTCTGCAGCCTTCATAGAACTAAAATTTTACATTATGTAGTGTTGGTTTGAAAGAAAATCCTTAAAGTTTGGGGCTGTTGTGATTAAAAGTTCAATGGGTATGAATACTTATTTAAGCAACTGTATAGTCTGCCTCAGTGTGAATGTGAAGTGAAAATATTTCAAAATGGTGGGATTAATTTGGATCTCCATTTGATCCATAAATGAGCTTTAGCCAGCAACATGTTTCGTTTTTTTTACCATTTTGTTTACAATATCAAATAATCCCAAGCATTTCAATAAAACCTTTACATTGGAGATATACATTTTCCTGCTGTGGTCTTCTTGAGAAATTATGTTTAAATGTGACCCATGGTTAATAAACTGGGTCATATTGAAATTCAAAACACAGAACAAAAAAGAAATTAAGCTCTTATTAAAAAAAAAAAAAATCCATCCGAGGTTAAACAGCGCTTTTAGGTTTCTTGTTAACCTCAAACTGTTATGAAAATGCATTCTATCGTCAATAAAAAGGTGGTTTCTAAAGTTCTAGCAGTTAATTAAGAAAAACTTTCATTTATTCTATTCTTGCAGGCATCTGGTGAAGAAGTCGACCGTCACGATTCTGGACGACCACATCAGTCACTACCCTCAGCTGGAGGACCCCACTGGCTTCCTAAAAGCTTATTTTAATTTCATCCACTCTTTCTGAACAGATCAGACACAGGCACCTTGTGTGAGTAATCAAAACCAGATCAAAATGATTTTCCACCCTTAGTTAGGAATGTTAGGAACTAATGAAAAGTCTGAGGAAAACAAATGCACATTTATAGAAACCTGAGATGATCAACTACTGTAATATTGAGCATATCTGTTGAATCCAACATTCTGAATTACTTTTGATATCATTTTCTACATTATGCTAAATGTTAACTATCTTTAAATAAAATTTTCTTAAAAAAAAAAAAAGTCTTAGTTGCATTCTGATTTACTTTATTGTGAAACTGAAACAATATTTTCTAAGAACAGAAGATGGAAAAAAAGACAGAAATGTTTTAGTTTATATAGAAGATATAAAACATTTATCTGGTTGAAATAGCCACAAGAACGAGTTTAAGTTTAAAGACTGACAAAGAGATGGATGAGGGTCGTTACATGCTAAATGGCTGCGCTGGGTTCAGATTTCTAGCCAACAGAGGCCAGGATCACATCGACAACGGTCTCCTCACTGCTGCGGACCGTCACCTGCATGGTGACGCCATCAGCCAGCGCCAGACGAGCCCGAACCAGCACATCGTGGCCTCCTCGGAAAACGCCTGGGGGGAGGTGGGGAAATCTTACTCTCAGCAAACAGATTTCTAAGAATTAACTTTGACTCTTTGATGAATCTCACCAGCAAGGAAGAGGACGTGAGAGTTCTTATTTTCTGGAACTTTGTCGGAGCGTTCACAAGGCTGCATTCCCAGGAAGCTGATGATGTTCCCCACCGCCTCTGTAAATGGTTCAATAAAGAGATTGATGCAAGGATTAAACACACCTCTAGATGGAGCTACCTTCACCAACATCAGCTTTGCATGTAGGAAACTTGTCAAACATATTCAGAGTGCATACCATCCAGCGTTCGCACAGACGCCAGAGCGAAAGTCTCTTCCTTCTCGTACTCGTCTCCCACTTCCTCCCACGCTGCTCCGAAATTAGGTTTCAAGACTTTTTGAATGTGATCTGCAACGGTCACCTCCAGGTCTTCTAGCTGGAGGGAGTGAGAATTTGGAAAAACTAATTAAGATCTCAGGACCTGCAAAATTTGCTCGTCTTACCAACTCTAACTCCACTCCTACTTACCACGTATTCGTCATCGTAACCGTCATCGTCAGGCTCTCCTGTGTTGGGGTTACAGTCCCTCACCAGGTACTTCATTGTACAGCTGAATGTACACGACACTGCAGGCAGACAGAAGTCCTGTTCACTGAAATGGCAACTATGCCCAAAACTTGATCAAAATCCAGAGTTCTTAGAAATTCTAAAATACAATTTCTTTGCATGTTTGTGACCTAACATTCAGCTCCAATCTTAGAGTGGGATACCATCTCAAACCATAGTTAGATATCTGGATTGTTGGCACAAGGTGTAGATGTGCTGTGCTTTGACACCCATGGTGGTGGGTTCAAACCCTGGGAACGGCAACATCTAGAGGAAAAAAAAAAAAAAAAACTTCCAGAGGACCTTAGACTTAAGATAGGGTCCATCTGACTAGAGATCTATGAGGTACAACAAAAATGCTACGGCAGATGGGGAGCCAGGACGCCAGGAAGTGGGGATAGATGTCCTCCCCACTATCAATCTTAGAGGACAGCTACAACAGAATGTTGGTAAGTGAAGTAACGAGTGCAGGGAGTATGTAGCATAAAATGTACAGAGTAATCTAGATATAAAGTGCCTCATAATCTACTAGAAAGAGGAAAAAGCAGGGTGATGTGTAAAGGACAACTTAAAAACAGGCCACCAAGTTTTTTTTTTTTTTTTTTTTTTTTAATTAACTAACAGTGATGTTAATTTTGCACACACACACACACACACACACACACACACACACACACACACACACACACACACACACACACACACACACACACACACACACACACACACACACACACACACACACACACACACACACACACACACACACACACACACACACACACACACAAAAAAAAACATTTCAAGTGCATCCATTATGACTGTTAAAATCTTTCACCTTGATGCTTTTGTTAACATTGCCTGATTAGAGTGAAACAAATTTTTCTTGGTCAGCGTTTCAATTCCTTCCGACCTACGGGGTCCTTGCTGCCAGCTGTGTCTCATTATTAAAATACACAGGACCAGGTTTCTGAACTGACCCAGGTGGTTTATGAAGCCTCCTACCGAGCTCTACTGGAGGATGCTAAAATAGCATGACGTGCTTTATGATGATTCCCTCACTTCGTTTAGTAGCGTGTTTATGGATTATCAGAGGCCTTGGTTAAAGAGACCCCGACCAGTGATTTCCTCTCTGGTTGGTTTGCTGTGCATCTCTCTCTTCCATCTTCTTCCATCTTCCAAGTTTAGTAGGAACTTTTCCCAAAGCAAGTTTAACACTAAAGCAGTGTTAAATTCATTTCCATTCTAACAACCAAGACCATCACTTCTTTTCACCCATCTTGAATGGATATAACATCCAAGTTGTTCAGTATATAAACACAATTAGACTATTCCTCTTTGACTGAATAGACAGAATTGACACTAATTTTTTGTATAAAAGTCGGGACGTTAGTTAAAACAAATCCAGCCTTCACACCGGCAGTAGGGTCAATCATCAGGCAGCTGCGCCAGAGTGTAGGCGGACCCAGGCTGGCTGTAGGCGAGGCTGGGTGCTGGAATGTAGTGGACCACCTCATAGGCCTCAGATGGCTCCATCTGAACTACCACCTGCAACAAACAGGAGTTCAGCCCCGTTGCATTAAACTTGCTATAAAATCGTGATGTTAAGAAACATGTTGGATCTGGTATCCAGGAACCTTTTGAAGCAACTGCTCGTTCAGAGTGTTTGCGCAGTCGAACTGGAACACCATGTGTCGGGCGAATGTGTGCTTGATGCAGCGAACCACGTATTCTGTCTCAGCCTCTGTCAGCTGTACTGCTTCTGACGACTTTAATAACGGGCCGAGGGTCTGGAATTCTGGGATGGATGCAAGTTGTTCTGCAAGTTGGTGACGAGAAAATAAAGGTGGACATCGATTAGTTGTCTTTGGCAGTGTAAAGGTCAAACTAAAGCAAGTGCAGTCATGTAGTTTTACCTTGGTAGATGTCCTGGCGTGATGGACCCAACTTTTCTGGCAGTTTGCTTGTAGCAACAGGAGCAATTTCTAAGAGGGAATAAATCAATTATTTATTTTATGCACAGAATGATAATATTCAATCAGCAGCTCTAAATAAAGCTCTAAAATATGCTGTATAATGGGGTTTAAATGATGGCATGTACTGTACCTTGTTGAGGGTCCTAACAGCAGCATATCTCAAGGCGGCTTTAGGGGAGCTGCAGAAAAGCTGGAGCACTGCAGAAAAATTATCCACATTAGACCCACAGAGAGAACAACATGATTAAATTAAATCATTTTAACAGTTTCTTTGTACCGACTTGTTTAAACTCTTGCTTATTTCAGCACTGTCTTCAAACAGGCAAGCAAACAAGTGAGGCGGGAGTGGAACATCGACCTTGCACAATATTTGCTATTAATTGGTGTTTTATAAAAAACAAAGTGAACTACAATGATATACCTTTGGTCTGAACTAGAACTAAATAAAAAACAAAAAACTATGTACACTGTTGCTAAAACAACAGTCCCCCTTTTAAAACACTGAAATCAAACCGATCTGCTAATCTTTTAATATAGGAACACTTGTGATAATCACATTGAATGGTGATGTCTTTATCTAGTTTAAGCTTTATGAATAAGATCTGGTTAATCAGATAACCTGAAACAGCCGGAGCCAGCTCCCTGGCGGTACAGTTGGGCATGTGGACAATGGCAGAAGCAGCCTCATAAACGACCATCTCGTTCTTGTTCCTCAAGCAGCTCTCGATGAAGTCAAACAAGGGGCTGTCATGACTGTGGATCAAATACATGACATCAATACTGGTTCATCTATGATAACATAACCGTCTGATCCACAAATGCCTCAGTCTGCTCACCCTCCCTCCGTCTCATCCAGCAGTTTGCTGGCAATGCGGATTAGCATGCAGTAGGCGAATGGGGACTTCAGGCCAGACTTGGTGAACTTGTTGAGCATCTTGGTCACAGCGAGACGATCGTTCTTCCTAAGATGATACAGCAGGCCGAGAGCATGGTACTAAAAGAGAGGGGGGAAATAAAGCATTTAGAGCAAAAATGTTTGCTTATGAGCCATAAACGTACATATTCCTCCAACATGCTCAGGTCTTTCCTACCTGGACCATGAGGTTGTCACTGGAAGCAGCCTCCTGGGCTTCATTCACCCAGCGCTTCACCACATCGTAGCTCATCTTCACCATGTGCTGAGGAGTTGAAGCAGAGAGGATGTCATCCAACAGCAAAGAGCAATGCATGAGTGCATTACCCAATCATAAAAAATGTTGTGTATTTGCAGAAATTGTGACATTTTACCAGAGAGGAGACCAGAGCTGAACTGGACACACTGGGCACTTTGTCCACAATAGCCTGCTTCATGTACCGTTCGATGGCCTGCAGCATGGTGGTCTGTGAGCAGAACACAACAAATAAACAAAGCTCTGTAAGAAAATATATTTTTCTCCAGTAAGAGACAAATTGAGATATGAAAATAAGATAATAAAAAAAGTCAACTTCACTCACATCTGTAATCCTGCACAGGGCTCTAATGGCTGGACCTCTGTATACATCCTCCTTACCAGTCATGTCTTTAGTTAGACTATTTAAAAAAAGACAAATGAGAACCAATAAATCACTTCTTCTGATAGAAATAAAAGAAATCGGTTCAGGACTGAAGTTCAAAAGAGAATTTTAACTTTATGGCAATGAAATCAGGTGCTCTGTATTTTCTAAACAGATGTGCTGAGAAAATAAGGAAAAAGTACATATACCACACTGAGAAGTAGCTTTTGCTCACTGATTTGCTGTTCTTTTTTTAAATCACATTTGTCAGATAGTGAATTGATCTTCCATTTAAATCTTGAACTAACTGTTACTTACCAATGTTTACTACTACCTGACCTTTATAATTACATATTCATTTAATATTTACATCTAAAACAGTATGTGGTAGGCCAATTATGCTATTAATTATCAGTTAAGGTCACAATTCATAATTCAAAAACAACAAAAAAAAAACTGTCAAAAAGGAGAAAAAGTAACATAAATATTAAGTGGCTCAGAAGTAGACAGACAGTTCATACTTTAATCAAACTTAGACCTAGCATGACTTCAAACAGGCTATCCAAACCCCCAAAAGTTGCATAATGCTTTTGAAATAAAATGTATTCGGTAGGGCAAAAATCATCCAAGAATGTGTATATTAAAAAAAATCATTAAAAAAAGGAGAGCAACATCTGATGTGAGATGTTAGCACAGAGTGGAAAACCAATAGGTTAAAGCTGCAATTACATACAATTTATTGATAAAAACCTGCTGGTAACAATGATGACATCCTCAGAGATGTTTGCCATCTCTTTAATAGTCAGGTAGCACATCCTCCTCAGGGTTTGCTAAATAAGAGCCTTAAGCTTGATTAGATCATCAAAGTGAGCAGTTATCAAAACATATAACAATTAAATAAACAGGTAACGTCGTACATCATTAGACTGGAACAGCCTTGTCATTGCAAAGAAAGCTTCAGTGGCTTCTGTGGTCCCAAAATGCTCTCCCTACAAGAAAAAAAAACATCAGAGTTAGTTATGATATAACATTATGATAGCCAAAGGACTGATAACATGATTGTATTTTTGACCTGATTGAGAAGGTAGATGATCTTGGTGAGGATGTGGAGACATCTTCTTGGATTGATAGGGGTCTCATTGAAGATACGCGCCTGGAAATCAAAACCACAATTACTTTAGTATTACAGCCTCTTCAGTTAAATATGACTTAATCTTAAACTTAGAAAGCTCACATTACCTCTTGCAGGACTGCACTCTTCTCCAGGTGTTGGAAAGGATTTGATCCACTTCCTACAAGACCGAATATACATGTTAAAAGAAGAATACGTTATACAAGTGCTTTCTTTTACTAAAACAAAGAAAACAGGAACATTACATTATTGCTGAGATTGATACTTCTCAGGCTTTCCCTTCTTGACCCGCAGGAACAAATATTTGAATTTATTTTTAAAATGTATACTTATTTTATGAACACTCTTCATTAATAAAAATACTATGTATTATACCTAACTATACCAGGTCACCAACTAACAGTTTTTTTCCAAATCGATTAATCTTTTGATTATGTTTTTGATTACTCCATTAATAATCAGATAAGGTTTCTTGAAAAGGATTTTTACAACATTAAACGGGGTGAAACTAAAACTTTTCCACTTGAGGAGTTCTGGATAGAGTATATTGGCAGGAAAAAAAGACTTATTTAATCTTAAATGCAATATTCTAAGTACGAATAAACACATCCCTTTCAAACAAACAACAAAACAAAATAAAACAAAATCAAAGAGAAAACGAGAACAAAATCGGCCCAATAACCAATTGTAACATATTATGCTAATATATTTGGTTTTATCCCAACCGAATACTCAACTTAATTAATTGATTAAATTAAATTTGTCTTTGACAACAATTTAGGTATTAAATATATTAGGTATTCCGACATAACGAAAAAGAGCCTTCAAAGTAAAGACATCTGGCCCTGCTACTTATAAGTGATTTATCAACAACCACAGATGACAATAAGGAAATCAGATGTTAGAGTTTTAGTTGTTTCCAATCATTTATATTAAATGAATTAGCAGCAAACAGGCATTGAGACCTGTCAGAAAAGAACCATTTGACAACGCTAGCATGCATAGCTAATGCAATATGTAAACACCAAACAAGGCAATATCGTGTTGAGAATTTTGTGTCACAGTCACAATTAAACTCTTAACAGTTGCAAAACAATTTGTTTTAACTCATAAGGTATCGTTTTAACAGAAAATACGTTAAGGCTTGTTGACTTTAGCTAGAATGCTAACATGTTAGCATTATTTTGCTATCTATTTCAGATGCAAAAACTATCCCATTCTTTAAAATATTGATTTCAAATCCTTACCCGATTCTTCGTCCTTCTTATCAAATTTTTTAATCATTTTGACTGAATGCAGTTGAAGGACAAACAGACGCTCTCAGCTTGGGCTGTACCGGGAGCTACTTCCACGTAGCCAAAATGAATACTGATTTCCTGTAGACGGCATCCACGTCAACGGAAAAGACGTAGGGCAATTCATGATTTTATTTCTGACCAAAAGGAGGCACTGTTGAGAAATTATATTCTTTTAAACAATGACGGCACAATATTTTAAAGCTTTAATAGAACTCTAAATTCATATTTATTGTTAATCAATTTCGCATCTACATTTTAGTCCTATAAAAACAAACAAAAATCTTGTAAATCAGCGTTTTTATTTGGAAATTGTTCATTTTCCCAGATCTTGGGGAAAGTTACCCAAAATGACCACCAGATGTCGACAGTTCTTATGAGCTGAGTAGAGCCTATGGCTCTGTTCGAAAACCTAGGACGCATCCTTAGAAGACCGGATTCGAACAGACATGGGCAATGTGGAGTCAGCAAGTCATCTCCATGTTATGTATTTAATCTACCCAGCCAATTAACCAGGTGAGTCCAATCTGCACAGGTTAATTTACGGTGAAGATTGGACTCACCTGCTTCAGTGGCTAGGTAGAACAAATACATGACATGGAGATGACTTGTTGACTCCACATTGCCCATGTCTGGATTCGAAGGCCGATTACGTCATAGCGCAGCGCCGAAGTCTGGATGGATTCCAAGGCTCTGTTCGAAAACCTAGGACGCATCCTTAGAAGACCGGATTCGAAGGCTGATTACGTCATAGCGCGGCGCCGAGGTCTGGTCGGATTCCAAGAGTCCTCGTTATGCGGTCTTAAAATGCGTCCTTCTTTTTGCCTGATTTGAAGGACGGGTCCGATGTATCCTCGCTATCCTTGGTTTACCCAGAATTCATTGCGAGACCAAGCAAGCTGTGATCAGAGGAAAGGTTACTTGGCGCCGAACAGTGGTGAAAATTGGAAGTTCAGTTTAATATAATACAACTCTGTGAATAGTTCCGTCTGAAATGAATGAAAATAGTTATTTAATGGTTATAGAGTCAGATATGTGGCGGTAATGTTTGGTTTATCTAAAGGTTTTTATCTGTTACTGTGTAAATGGATTTGGCTGGAATTTAAGGACAGATTCTAATAAATCTGCAGAGTGGGGACTATAAATCTGATAGGATTTTTATCTTTTTATTGCTGTTTTGCACAATATGCTTAACTTCGTATTTTTTGTTGTTGAATATTAGAGATTTTGCAGATATATTTTTTATAAATATATTGTTTAGATTTACTTATATCTTTCTACCCCTTTATTTTCCCACAATGGAAAAATTTACAGCAGCAGAAAGATTATTGAAAATTGTCACACAAATGTGGACCTTAGAAAAATGTATAAGAATAACATGATAGGGAAGAGTTAAAATATAAACAATAAAATACTGTAAAGTGTTTTAACAATATAAAACTGGGGAATAAATAACCAATATGCAGCTATGGACATTTTTACAGTAATGGATATTAGAAAATAGCAGCAGCATCAGAGATGTGCAAAATGACAGCAGCATTTTATTTAACTGACTAAGGTTTCTATCATTACATTTTATTTTATTTGTTCCTGCTCCCGGTGGTTGGAACCTTTATTCCACTCTGGATTCTTGTGAGTGTAGTCTTTGTTCACTTCACAATAAAAAAGAAAAAATAAACAGTTTTGAAAACTTCTGTATTCATTCTTTTCCTGCTTTGTGTGTCAACGTTCACGGTTGCTAAGCAACAGAGCATACGGCGGTAAAACCCGCCGAAGGGTAGACCTGGTCGAATTTACAGCCAAAACTCTTCCGGTCTCCTTATTTTCAAGGACTTCGAAGGATCCAGTCTAGGTAGACCGCGTCCTTGGAGGACCCGTCCTAGGTTTTCGAACAGAGCCCAAGAGTCCTCGTTATGCGGCCTTAAAATGCGTCCTTCTTTTTGCCCGATTTGAAGGACGGGTCTGATGTATCCTCGGTATTCTTGGATATCCCAGGATTCATTGCGAGACCAAGCAAAGGTTACTTAGCGCCGAACAGTGGTGGAAATTGGAAGTTCAGTTTAATATAATACAAGTCATTTAATAGTTTCGTCTGAGATTAATGAAAAATTGTTGTTTTAATATTAGTTGTTGTAAGGTTATTGAGTCAGATATGTGGCGGTAATGTTTGGTTTATCTAAAGGTTTTAATCTGTTACTGTGTAAATGGGTTTGGCTATAATTTAAGGACAGATTCTAATATATCTGCAGGGTGGGGACTATAAATCTGATAGGATTTTTATCTTTTTATTGCTGTTTTGCACAATATGCTTAACTACGTATTTTTTGTTGTTGAATATTAGAGATTTCGCAGATATATTTTTTAGAAATACATTGTTTAGATTTACTTATATCTTTCTACCCCTTTTATAGAACAGAATAGAAAATCCCTTTATTGCAGTGGCGGCTGGTGAAAAATATTTTTGGTGGGGCTGATATAGCCTAGTGTATGTCTCCAACTAATCCGGAATAAGAATTCAAATAAACAATTGGACAATACATACAATTTAACAGTAATGATTTAATTTACTATATAATAACAGTAACAGTGATGATTTGGGTCACTGAGACGGGGTTCTTTGGCCTCCAAGAATCCAGTCTCAGTCGGGTTACCGGTGTTGGTGATTTATTGAGCTCAAAAACTCAAAACAGGGTGCAAAAGAAACTAAACATATACAGGTGCCGGTCATAAAATTAGAATATCATGAAAAAGTAGATTGATTTCAGTAATTCCATTTAAAAAGTGAAACTTGTATATTATATTCATACATTACATACAAACTCATATATTTCAGATGTTTATTTTGTTTAATTTTGATGATTACAAATGACAACAAATGAAAATCTCAAATTCATCATATCAGAAAATTAGAATATTACTGAAGACCAATAAAAACAAAGGATTTATAGAAATGTTGGCCAACTGAAAAGTATGAACATGAAAAGTATGAGCATGTACAGCACTCAGTATTTAGTTGGGCCTCCTTTGGCCTGTATTACTGCAGCAATGCGGCGTGGCTTGGAGTCGATCAGTCTGTGGCACTGCTCAGGTGTTATGATAGCCCAGGTTGCTCTAATAGTGGCTTTTAGCTCTTCTGAATTGTTGGGTCTGGTGTATTGCATCTTCTTCTTCACAATACCCCATAGATTTTCTATGGGGTTAAGGTCAGGAGAGTTTGCTGGCCAATTAAGAACAGGGATACCATGGTCCTTCAACCAGGTACTGGTAGCTTTGGCACTGTGTGCAGGTGCCAAGTCCTGTTGGAAAATGAAATCTGCATCTCCAAAAAGTTGGTCAGCTGCAGGAAGCATGAAGTGCTCTAAAACTTCCTGGTATGTGGCTGCGTTGACCCTGGACCTCAGAAAACACAATGGACCAACACCAGCAGATGACATGGCACCCCAAACCATCACTGACTGTGGAAACTTTACACTGGACTTCAAGCAACGTGGATGAAGTGCCTCTCTTCTTTTCCTCCAGACTCTGGGACCTTGATTTCCAAAGGAAATGCAAAATTTACTTTCATCAGAGAACATGACTTTGGACCACTCACCAGCAGTCCAGTCCTGTTTCTCTTTAGCCCAGGCAAGACGCTTCTGACGCTGTCTGTGGTTCAAGAGTGGCTTGACACAAGGAATGCGACAGCAGAAACCCATGTCTTTCATACGTCTGTGTGTGGTGGTTCTTGAAGCACTCACTCCAGCTGCAGTCCACTCTTTGTGAATCTCCCCCACATTTTTGAATGGGTTTTGTTTCACAATCCTCTCCAGGGTGCGGTTATCTCTCTTGCTTGTACACTTTTTTCGACCACATCTTTTCCTTCCTTCGCCTCTCTATTAATGTGCTTGGACACTGAGCTCTGTGAACAGCCAGCCTCTTTAGCGATGACCTTTTGTGTCTTGCCCTCCTTGTGCAAGGTGTCGATGGTCGTCTTTTGGACAACTGTCAAGTCAGCAGTCTTCCCCATGATTGTGTAGCCTATAGAACTAGACTGAAAGACCATTTAAAGGCTTTTGCAGGTGGTTTGAGTTAATTAGCTGATTAGAGTGTGGCACCAGGGGCCATCAATTTTGAACCTTTTCACAATATTCTAATTTTCTGATATGATGAATTTGAGATTTTCATTTGTTGTCATTTGTAATCATCAAAATTAAACAAAATAAACATCTGAAATATATGAGTTTGTATGTAATGTATGAATATAATATACAAGTTTCACTTTTTAAATGGAATTACTGAAATCAATCTACTTTTTCATGATATTCTAATTTTATGACCAGCACCTGTACAAGATACTCTGGGCCTCAGCCTCCCTCCAGTTACCAGCAATGTAACAAAGAAACAGAAAACAAAAATTGCCGCTTTTCTTCCCACAGCCCTCATTAAATAGTTTAAGCCCCTCACCTCAGGCTCTCTTATTTCTGATTTCTTCTCATAAATCAGTTTTGTCCATATATTACCTCCACAAACAATTGATGTACAAAAACAAATAATTTTTACAACTTAATTCTTTTACACAGATTCATTCACTTATTCAATTACACCAAACTGGGTTTAAACCCAGCAAAGACGCAGCCAGACTGAAGATGACAAGTCCCCGTAGCATAAACACGTACACACCCACACCCCCCACATACCCACACACACACCCACCCACGGCTAACCCCACTGAAATATTAAGTGTGCACCCTCAATACGCCAGCAGGTAACCAGGAACAGCTTGTGTGTTTTAAGTTTATGGAGCTACTGGTCTCAGCGCGAGCGGATTGGTCCTCACAAACACAGTATAACAGGAATGTGTGTGTGGCGCGCAAAGTTAGAGAGGTTGTTTTAAGCGACGAGGTGGATTCGTCACAGTCACAATAACCATGACATGAAATGTTCATATCCTACAACAGGGATGTTCTTCTGGCAAACGGGTAGATAAATAAGGATCTCACCGAATTTGGTGGAAGCTGCATCTCGCTCGTTACGTTCGCCACCTTCCCTCTCATTGTCTGCACCTGCGCATTGGGTGCA